TTCACATAGCAAGTGAATGTACATTTACCAAGTTGCCATTCCAATGAAGTAAAAAAAATTCGAAAAAAAAATTGTCAAAAATGACCAAACAGCACCAGAGGGTTAATTGTTTCTCTTAATTGTTGCTGTGTTTTTTCAAGTGTATGTTTATATAATGAGAAGCACCATGTTTATAAATAGGAAGGAGGAATGAGAGGAAATGTGCATTCATATAGCAATGTATTTGTCTTGACCTTATTTAGGACAAAATGCTTTGAGTGAAATGTGAGTTTTCTCCCAAAAGTGTCCCATCTGTCATGTTATAGCTGATCAGAGGTTATTTATTGAGTTCCATATTTATTATTCCAAATATCCCATTCATAAATTCAGTTACAAATCAAAGAGGCAGATTCATCTAGTACATTAAACCAGTTGCAGTATTTGTGCCAATGTGAGTAATGTGAGTAGATAAGTAACAATGTGCAGTATATGTTTGAAAAAGATATTTCAGAGAAATGTCCTTAATGTAACAACTTGCATCATTTCCAGCATATCAGATCTTTTTTCAGTCATATTTAAGGCAATATCAAAAACTGAATATCAATAATCAATGCTGTCGAGTGTGACTGCTGCATTTCCATCCTTGTGACCTAAAAATGTAGCCCTTAAATTGTACAAGGATACTGATTAATAATGTCAAATCTATGAATCACTGTAGAATTTTCATGCTATTAAACTAAATTTTGAGAATTTTTTTTTTATCAATTGTACCGTGTTTTTATTATTTTATTATTTTATATAATCAGCAGCATTTTTTTTGTTCCTCGCAGCCATTGTGATTCTCTTCATTACGTTGCGACGAAACAAAAAGGAGCCGTTGATCATCTCGGAGGAGGACATTCGTGAGAACGTGGTGACGTACGATGACGAAGGAGGCGGAGAGGAGGACACCGAGGCCTTCGACATCATCGCCCTCCGGAACCCAGCCGCCGCCGAGGAACTCAAGTTCCGCCGGGACGTCCGGCCCGAGTGCATCCGGCCGTGGTCATCACGAAGAGCGGCCCGCAGCCGTCTTAGCCCCTCGTCCCTGGACATCGATGAGGAAATGGACATCGGGGAGTTTATCAAAGAGAGAGTGGCCGAGGCGGATCAGGATACTAGCGTACCGCCCTACGATTCTTTACAGACCTATGCCTACGAGGGTCAGGGGTCACCAGCAGGCTCCATCAGCTCGCTCGGGTCGGCTGGAGCACATTCCGACCTGAACTACAACTCCCTGGACGACTGGGGTCCAAAATTTGAGAAAATAGCAGAACTTTATGGAGAGGAAGTTGAAACGGCATCCGAATCCACTGAAAAGGCAGAGTCGTAGAAGCAGACATAAGTATTTGTCAATATCAGAGAAAAGTGTGAACAAAAAAACAAAACCCTGCTCTTTTTCAACATCCGCCGTCATGGTTTCATCAGTACAATAAGACGCTCTCGGACTGCTGCGCTGCCGTAACTCTACAGCTGTAAAGTCAGACTGACTGCCTTTTTTCTCTTGTTTCTTTTGGATTGTTCGGAGCTCTGAATCCCAACAAGACAAGAATGATTTTGAACAGAAAATATAATAAAAAAAATAAAAATAAAAAAATACTAATGAAAATAAGGAAGCTATTTTAACTGGTGTATATTTTTTATTGCTCAATAAAGTCCTGGATTCCTGACACATGAATATATGTGAAGTTATCCTTCACTGTTGTTGTTTTAAATCATTTATTTATTTATTTTATTAGTATTATTATTTTTTTATTTACTGGTAACATTTTTGAAAAGAATTATAATTAATAATAATAATTAATAATTCATTCAAAATTATTTAAAAATACTTAATACTTATATTTATATAACTTTTCAATTTTTGCATGCAGTATCATGTGACATTTTCACTTTTTATGACAAAGTGCCTAAATTCCTTCAATTACCTACACACGCTATATTTCCTACTGGAGTATATTAAGAGTAGACTGACTTATTGAATGTTACTTCAGGCTTCTCTACTCCACCGCATCATTCAATTTTAATGTGAAAATCATCTAAACCCTTGTTGGCCCAGATTTGCCTTGAAGCATTTCAATTATTGCTCTTTTCCAAAATCTAGTGAGCTCTCCCTCGCCATCTACAGCCTACATAGACAGCTGCTATCCCTCATAAGTGACTGACTACTAAGCTAAGATAAAAATATTTTACTCTGAGTATAAAAATACATATCAAGCATTTTGAATTTGATTTAGCTATTCATAACAACAGTTTTTAGTATTCAGTGATATGCTGTAATCATTTTCTCGTCTCATCCACCATCTTGGATTTCCTTCACATGTAGTATAACAAGCATAAGTATAATTAAGCTCCCTTCCTTTCAGAACAGCCTTTTTTCATGAGAATGTCTTTCGATGTCTTAAAATGCTGCCTACGTAGGCAACTCTGAGTTTCATTATATAAAGTCTGTACTTCTGACTCTGATTATAGAACCCTGTTTATTTTATATAGGCGTCCTCTGGGACTCCCGTTGGGCACTTAAGATGATACACACTCTCTTTCCCTCTTTCTCTCTCTTCCCATATTCCCCAGGTTCCTGGTTTATAGTGACTACATGAATGAAGTGAGAAGTTTATGAATATTTCAGCATTTCTGCGCGTGTGAGAGAGAGTGTAATGTGTGTGTTGTGCTTTTGAATTATGGTGGTGGCTAATTTGGGCTGGTTTTTTTTTTCAGGCTATCCATTGTAAGGATAGAATACAGAAGCAGTATTTGGAATATGAAATATTAAAATCCTCCATCGCTATATGCATATACTATATGTCATTTTAAGTGTGTGCTTCCTCTCCAAATATCTCTCCAGTCATTGTATTCTATAGTTAATAGGACAACTGTTTTTGCTCCCAGCATGCTTTGTGAGTGTGTGTATATGGCCGTGTTTACATGAATATGTGCTGTATTTGTGTAGTTAACTCATAACATCCATTTTTTAAATCAACATCATGGTTTTTGGACCTATATGACTGACTTTCTTTTCTTCTGCAGAGAACAAAAGAATTCAGTGAATGTCAATGGAGTCAAGTAATCTGTAAATATCCTCTTTTGTTCTCTGCAGAACATATAAAGTCATACAAGTATGTAATGGCATGAGGGTAAGTAAATGATGATAGAATTATCTTTTGTGTTTTTTACCATTTTTAATTACATTGAACTCTTCACTAGTTCATGTGTAATGGTCTTGCAGTGTAACAAACTACATTTTTAAGTATGTCATAAAAGCTAAATGAATAGAAATAATAAGAAAATGCTGTTTAAAATTGTTTTGGAGTTTAACAGGTCATGTCAACTTCCCATTAAGCATTTGAACAACTTACATTGTTCAAAAGTCTGAGTTTGGTTTTGAAAGAAGTATCTTATGCTCACCAAAACTGAATTTATTTGTTCAAAAATACAGCAAAAACAGTAATATTGTGATTCCAGTACTGGTTTCCAGTCGTATATATTTTTTTGTATTATTTTAAATTGTTTGTTTAAAAATACAGTAAATATTGTGAATTATTATTATTATTTAAATTTAAAATAACTTTTCTATTTAAATATATTTTAAATTGTGATTTATTCCTGTGATGCAAAGCTGAATTTTCAGCATCATAACTCCAGTCCTCAGCATCATATGATCATTCAGAAATCATTCTAATATGCTGATTTGCTGCTTAAGAAACATTTATTATTATAATGTTGAAAACATTGCATTTGTTTCATGATTCTTTAATGGATAAAATAAAATAAAAATACTTCAAATAGAAATATTTTATTACATAAATGACTTTAATGTCACTTTTGATCAATTTAAAGTATTTTTGCTAAATAAAAGTATCAATTTCTTAAAAAATATCCTACTGACATCAAATATTTGAATGTACACTACTAGTCAAAAAATGTAGTACTGTAAGCATTTAAGCATGAACCTTTAGATTAAAAGCATTTTAAAGTCATGAAAAACAAATTCAGTCAAGTGGGTCCAAGTTTTTGACTGGTAGTGTTCTGTTAAGTCATAGTAAATACAAATAAAAGTGCACAAACTCGACTTCAAATACAAGTGTTATAGTTGCTGCACAACATTTTGGCAGTGAAGTGTATAAAGCAGTGCTGTTTATCTTTACATAGGGGATTGATTGAGTGAAAAGGAATCAAATGTGTGTGTACAGTGTGTTTGTTTCTGTGCAGTAATCCTGACAGGCTGTACGTTCTGATTGGGTAAATCCGCTTTCCACTTTCTGTACCCTGGTTTGTTCTCTTTATCATTTTCCGGTAAGAAACCTAGACATATTTTTTTGGTAATCACTTCTGAGATTTCTTGTTAACACGACCGAATGAAAGTTTGTATTGCTGAATTTGGGTTTGACTTCAACAGCTGTTATTACTGTACAATGGTTGCAAGAACTCAAGCGAATTCAAGCCGCTCAACAGCAGGAACTTCTGCAGTCAGCACAATGGTAATTTTTTTTTTTAGGTGAAAAAATGAGCTTACTGTAAATGTTTCATCCATTTTATCCAAATGCTGATATTAGTCTGTTACATAACCTCCAACAAGCAGATTTACTTATATTTGTGTTCTGTGATTACTTCATTTCATTCTGCCACTGTAAAAAAAGTGTCATAAAGTATTTTTTTTCTAAATAGAAAGCAGTTGTTTACTATAATTACAGCAGTAGAAAATTATAGTTTAGTGAGTTAAAGGAACATGTCCCACCAAATAAATAAATACCAAAATAAATATTGAACTGGCAACCCTGGGTGTTGAAAAACTGGCGGAATCACATACTGTAGATCAAAACAAAAACAGACGTTCCGACACAGAACACACATTTCAAAGTACAATAACTGACTCTAGCATTGTTTTTTTTTGGAGTGTGTGAACTTAGATTGTCTTAAATATCTGCAAATATGGTATTTTATGCTTTAGTACAGTCAAAAATTGCATACAGTTACCTTTAAAATCAGGCTGCATGCGTACTGTGCTAATGATGAAATTCTCATCATGCACACTGTATGCATACCATAGTGTACACAAAAAAACGAAGTATACTTTGGGTTTTACAGCACTTGTGAGTTATTTTATGGTGCTTTATGCTGGTTTAGTCCTTTTTGGAGCGTAACATCTCATTGTATGAAAAGTTACTGCATGTAGATTCTTCATTTCACAATGGCAATTCGTTTTTGTTTTGTTTGTTTGTTTGTTTTTTGTGAACTGTTCCTTTCAGCAATGATTATATTGAAAATAGCACTTCCCAACCTTATTTTCTTTCTTTCAGCGTTCTATTGAACGTCACGAAAGATGCTGTTTGTGCATTTGGTATTCTGGAGGCATGCGCTCTGCCCTCAGCGCTGCATTCAAGACATCGGGAGTCATGCTGTGCAGGCGTGAAAATTGGGATTAGATCTGTTGGCCTTAAAAGGGCGAGCTTTCTGAAGCACATTGCCGGTACCTTTCAACAGAAATGTTAGCTTTTAAGTTTTATTTCTGTTTCAAACTGGGAAAAAGGAGGAAGTTATTACAGTCATTTTTGTAGGAACTCACACACAAACACTCACACATAAACATTTAACAAGTACACTGAGAGAAAAGGTTAGGGATTGGGGATGTTACGTGTTGGCCATGGTAAGTGAGATATCAAATCATCGGGGGCGTCTACTCTGTCCAAAGGGCACTGCAGCCAGCATAGAAAGGAAGTATAGATCAAAATTTCTCTTCATGGGAATTGGATAAGGATGTTCACACACCACTTATACACGAATAAAAATGGGAAAAGGATGCTGTTATTTCAATTAATTTGCCAGGTGTGGTTAGTAGTTGAGTATAAAGCACATCAGATATCATATTAGCAGTGTTTAGCAGATTCACACATCGTGTAAATTAGCCTAATTACATCCAACTGTATCCAAAAATACAGTATATTTTCAGTATCATTATTCCAGCCTTCAGTGTCACACGACTCTGAAAAAATTCTGAGTTTACTTTTTTTTTTTTCATCTTCTCCCACTATGGAATAAAAAAAAAGGTAATTGTGTCTTTTTATCTCACACTTAGGACTTTTCTTCGGAGAATTGCGAGTTCTGAGTTTAAATCTCGCAATTCTATGTTCTCACAATTCCGACTTTTTCTCAGGATATAAATGCAGAGTTGTGGGATATAAACTTAAAGTTCTGAAAAGAAAAGTCAATGAGATAAAAAAATCACAATTAAATTTTTTTTTTGTCCTGTGTCCAGAAACAAGCTTGCATAGAAATCTTAACATTTTATATGTCTTTACTACTATATGGCAGTGCTTACCATTTAGCTTACTAACTAGCAACTGTATGTACATTGCTCTGTGTGCTTGATATGATGTAGGTGATTGAATATATATATAATTGCACAAGCAGTTTGGGAAGTTAGCTACTTGCCGATGTTTAATATTTAAGGTTATTTCTAGGTTTCCAAGTTTGAGCAATAATAATAGTGATGTTTGCTTTAGCAGGCTCCACTAATGAGCTCCTAACACTCTCTGTTAAACTTCCAAGAAAAGTTACTGCTTCTCCTTCACCACAGACGTTATCTCAGGCTCTTACCGCAATCTTAAGAATCACGTCAAAGAACCCCGAAACCAGTTTGAACTCTACGTTCCTTCATCTCCATACTT